TCCTTATATACACTCATTTTTTAGAGTACTTGTTTTGATACTCTCTTGTTCAAGACTAGGCTGAGTGATATATTCATTAGAAATTAACTCCTCACGAAGAGATACTTCGATGCCCTTGGGAGAAGTTTTATAGTACCTCTAAAGCCAGTGCAGAAAATAACCAACAACATATCCTGCTACTCGGCTCAGCATAATATATTTCACCATGGTAATAGAGCTACATGAAAGAATCAAAGCTATAAATGAAAACAGCTCTACCAATATCACTAATATTTTTACTCTCTTCAAATCCATTTCAAATTAAATAATGTTTATGAGATTTAATACAGAATATACTACCAAGGGAGCAAGGTTACATGATATATATAAGAATAATATATATAGGTAAGAAAGAATATATAGAATAGTAAGAATATATAGGATACCATGAATATATAGCATTTTAGGAATTTTTACAAAATAGCCATGTTGAGTCTGTAGGTTATGGTGTATGGTACAATTACTATTGAAAGAATTAGGGTGAATAAGAGAGTAGGACTCCGAATGTAGGTGGAAGTCATACAAAGACGGGAAGATGCATAGACCAAGTGTTAATATTGGCATCAGCGAGGTAAAAAGCTCAGTTCCCTGAGGCACAAGTGGAAAAAATGAACACGTTAACAGAAGAGAAAGGTGCACTTATGTTACTCTTAAAAAGAACCCTCTTGACCAGTATTATGTTGTTTAACACACAACAGAACTTTACTGAGAGGTAATAAGGAATTGATGAAACATTTATTGACTAGTAGGTAGGTGGATTTTGGGTTCAGAACAGACAGAAAAAAGTAGTAAATGGCAAAATCCAACATCAGCTAGTAAAAATGTCAGTTCCACAAGACATTGTCCTGAGAACCCTTCTGATTTTTGCTTCTCTGTAGATGTGTAGTGCAGTAATGGGTAGATGTGTAGTATGATTGATTAAAAGTATAATGATGGTAGATGTCTTGTGAGGGAAGATATTTATTGAGTGTAGATGTGTATGAGGGTAGATGTACAAGGTAGTGATGGTAGATGTGTAGTGATGGTAGATATGTAATGATAGAGATAGTGAGCATAGATGGTGTATTGAGGGTAGATGTGCAGGGTAGTGTTGGTAGGTGTGTAGTGATGGTAGATATTAATGTGATAGATGTGTAGCAATAGTTTACATGTAGAAATGGTAGATGTGTAGTGTAGTGATGGTAGATCCATACTGTAGTGAGGGAAGATGTGTAATGACGATAGATATAATGATTGTAAATGTAATGTTGTGATGGTAGATATGAAGTTTAGTAATGGTAGATATGTAGTGATGGAAGATGTATAGTGATGGTAGATGTGTAGTGATGGTACATATCAAGTATAGTGATGATAGATATGCAGTGATTGTAGATGAGTAGTGAAGATAGATGTGTTGTGCAGTGATGGTAGATATGTGGTCTCATGATGGTAGATGAAGATTATAAAATGGGTAGATGTAAAGTGTAGTGATAGGAGATGTGTAGTGATGGTATGATGTGTACTGATTGTTGATGTGTAGGGTAGTGAAGGTAGATCTGTAGTGTAGCAATGGTAAATCTATAGTGTAGTGATGGTCGAGTAGTGATGGTATAGGTGTAGTGCATGGTTACATGTGTAGTGATTGTCTATATGGAGTGATGGTAGATGCATTGTGTACTAATGGAAGATATGTAGTGATGGTAGATGTGTATTGATAGTATATGTGAAGTGATGGTAGATATGTAATGATCATAGATGTGTACTGATGGTAGATGTGAAGTGATGGTAGATGATTAGTGTATTAATGGTGTTAGATGTGTAATGATCGTAGACATGTAGTGATGGTAGATGAGTAGTGTGCTGATGGTAGATGTGTTATAATTGTAGAAGTGTAATGATGTTAGATATGTAGTGTGCTGATGGTAGATGTATAGTGTAGTGATTGTAGATGTGTAGTGTAGTGATGGTAGATGTGTAATGATTGTAGATATGTAATGTAGTGACCTTAGATCTGTGATAGTAGATGTATAGTTATGGTAGAAGTGTATTCTCATCAGCTAACATTTCTCCTCTAAAAAAATATTAGTTAGTAATTATTGCATAATTTTTTTTCCAATATGTAGTTTTAGAAAAAACTCATGTGAAGAAAAGATTAAGATAGTGTAAGTTTTAAAAAGTATAAAAAATGAATTCCTTCTCTGTAAGTCCTCATCTAATGCATAAAACTGAAAAAGTTTTAAAAAGTAAATAGGCGAGTACAAATAAAATGTATGAAATCTGTGTAGGGCCTTATCCAGTGTATAAACTTGAACTAATGCAGTTCATAAATGTAAATCCCAGTGAGTAATAATTCACTAAATAAAAGTGAACCTTTGATATTGCTCAACTGTGATATAAAAGAGAACCATTAAAAGTTCATGGATGTGTGTTCTCTTATTTGGTTATTTTGTGTCCAATTATATTTTGTATTGTGTTAGCCACAGCATCAACATTTTGCGGTTAACCGGTTATCTTGATGGGTGACAGCTTATCTTCCCTCTTTGGAACCACAATTTCGACCTGATTATCGTTCATCAGTTGACGGATTGTTTGACCACCGACACCAACAATTAATTTTCTTTTGTTGTCAGGAACAGATAGAAATCTTTCAACTGGCTTGTTTTATCTCTTTTCCCCTAATAAGTTTCTACTGACAGTAACAATTTTTTGTATGTCTTGTGTGGCACGGTCGACATCTTCTACTAATCCTTTTACACGAACTTTGCCATCAGGGTCATTCTCCATGGGAACTGTGACTTGGACATCATACAGTTTCATTATTTTCGCAACTCTGTCACCATTATAACCAATGACCAACTTACGGTATTCCATAGGAATATCTATCACTTTCGTAACAATATTTTACTGTTCTATATGTTCCGATAGAATGGTCTTAATTGTGGCAACAGCATTCCTAACATTATCTCGTTGCCCTTCTATTGCAACTATTGGGGTGGGGTCGTTTCTCTGCGGAACATGAGCTTTTACTTAAAATCTCTTCAAGAGATGGGTTAAGGTTGCTCCCCCAGAACCCAGTATCACCTTTCGAAGGTGTGGGGCCACATCCACATTCTCACAAACTTTGTCATTTTTCAGCTTTTAGCTATTAATTATTTTTTGCATATTTTACTCTGCTGCAGCATCAACGTTTTCCTGTAAGCCAATTATTTTGATGGGGGATTCATAATCTTCTCTCCTGGAACAACAATTTTGACCTAATGGTCTCTCACGAGTTCTCGGAGTGTTTGACCACCAATACCACAATCAGTTTTTCTATCATCGCCAGGGATAGAAAGGTTTTTTTCAACAAGCTGCTCTTTTTCTTTTCATCTAATAGCTTTTCCTATTCTGCCACAATATTTTCTATATACTGTATAGCATGATCGACATTTTACATAGGGCCCTTCACACGTACTGATCCCTCAGGGTCGTTTTGCAACAGGAATATGATTCTAACATTATACATTTCTTAAATATTTGCCACTCCTGTCACATTGAGAAACCTATGTCCACATGACGGAACTCCTTTGGAACCTCTACGGTTTTCGTAACAATGTAATGTCGATCTACATATTCTGACAGGAGGGTCTTTATAGAAGCCACAGCCTTACTCACATTTTCTGGGAGTCCTTCAATAGAAACAGTCGGGGTAGGGTCATCTCTTTTTGGAATCGAGCTGTAACTCAAAATTGTTTTCACGGGGATGGGTTAAGGGGGTATTCGTTATGCGGGGGTCCACGTATACATTATATACAGTATTGGTCTCTCAGGCACCAAATGTTAGTAGGAATAGAAAAAAATTGGAAAAGAAAAGAAAAAACAACAAAAACCGCAAAATAAGGTAATGCGCGTATGTGGAATTCGTCGATGTTGCCGCCACCACATCATTTTCGACAAACTTCTTGGCACTGTATCTCGGAAAAGTAATGATCAGATTTTTTTTTTTTTGTCTTATTTCCTTCACAAAAAATTGCTCTTTTTTCTGTAAGAAATTAATTTTTTTTTTTTTTTCAAAATTTCTTGGACACTGGAGCACCACTTCAGGATTTTGGCCTTGGACCCTGAAGGGGTTAATGGCTTTTTACTGAAGCAGAGGTGATTCTTTTGGTTTCAGGACCAAACATAGCTTAAAACTGGAAATATTTCATTTTTGCTAATTATTCTGAGGACAGATGAGGCATCCCTATGCCCCCTGATCTGTTTTATGGATTTTTAATAGGTCTGATTCAACTGCTAGGATACTGTAAAGCATAACCAATCATTCCTGGTTAAATTTAATTATCCAAGAAATAGGGTAAATTTATTTTTTGTGTGATTATGAATTCAAAATGGAAGGCAAGTGTAATATAGGCAAGGCTTGGGGACATGATTAATCAACAGAAGAAATGTTTTAGTGCTTAGAATGTCTACATTGTTTATTTTGGACTCACATTTTAAAATTATTTTTATAATTTTGAATAAAATTGGGCAAATTACTGACTTCTGTGCACTTCATAGGGTAGTTGTAATAAATATATGGGTGGTTTCTTTTGCACAATCAATAGAATGGAAAGTATGCTAGTCAAATAGCTAAGAATCTGGATTTTAGAGCAAAGAAAATGGCTGAAAACAAACTCACAGTGGCCAAAATCGCCAATACATAAACTGCACCCAGACAACAAACTTTGCACCTGAGCAATTCCATAAGTTCGCCTTCAAATTTCATACTTTTGGTGTCATTACCTTCAGAAAAAGATTCTCTACCATTTCAGTTTTTTTAAAGTGGACAGTGAGAGCAATATTAATTTCAGGAGTCTGGAGACTGAAAGGGCTAAACAAAAAAGCTCTCCTTTATATACTGTAGTATGATTTTGTAATTAAAACAATATATTTTCATAACCACCTAAAAGTTAAACCAGCTTGTAAAGAAAGTTCTATCTTTAAAATAAAAACAAAACCAGTACCTTTTCTTGCCATGATTTTGTGCGCTCAGGAAGATACTTGAGAACAATGGGTCTGCCTGCTAGATAGGAGAGCAGGTAACAAAAGGAGGCACCAGTTGCTGAGCAGAAACATATAAGCAGCAGTGCTAACTCCCAGCGGAAGAGGAAACCTGTTGAAAAAAAATAGTTATGTAAGTGTCAAATTTTCCATAGAACATCCAGCTGCTCTTAATCCATGCACATATGAGCTGTAATCCAAAATATGCTTGGAGTGTTTCTGTAACGTAATGTATATTTTTTCTCAAAGGTGAGTATAGGTTAGAAGATTCCAAATGAGGTCCAGATGTAGAATTTTCAATTTAAGCTGTCTACCCCATAAATTTATGCCAGGGACCTTACTGTGTCTACAGTAACAAGTAATTGTCATGCATTAAAATTTAGCCCTTAAACTGTCCAAACGCAGATCTACGTTAGTACCGCTAGCACTCCAAACATAGATCTACATTTTACTTTTCCTGCCTCCAAATTTGGCACAATTGGCCCGAGATGCCCAGTCAGTATAGAATAGGTCTTAACACTCGGTGTGCACAATATTAAAAAAATCTGGGAACACTTAATACCTTGTGGGAGCACCAGTTCAATTGAGCGCCGCTTAGCGGCACTCAAATATATACTGCTTAGCGGTATATTTTTGTACGGTTGTTATGGTTATACGTATTCTCATTTTTTCGGTTTCATTTGATAGAATGAAAGATATATTACAGAAATAGATGTGATTTTGATTGCTTTCATGATGAAAAGTACCTTGAAATTGCGCTCACAGTAGCGAAAATGTTCTATTCTTTAGCGAAGCTCAAGAGTAAACAAATGACGTCACCGTCCAATACTGTCCGCCTGCCAGTTCAATACGTAGTCAAGAATGGCTTGACCTGGCCTGGTCACAGACCGGGGCGTGGGGGCGTTGACCCCCGGAACTCTCTCCAGGTAAACTCCAGGTAATAATGCAGCAGTTTGCATAACAGTAAATCTTCTATTTTTTGTGAATAAAAATTCCTAATGAAAAGCAAGAGTAATATAAGAGGGGCATGTAGCCATGACTAATGAACAGAGAAAATTTTATTTTAGTGCCAGGAATGTCTGCATAGTTTATTCTGGACCCTATTTTGAAATTGGCATCTGCTGAAATTTGTGTGAAATCAGCCAAATTGCCAATTTCTGACCACTTTACTGGGTAGTTGAAATAAGTGAATGGGCGGTTTCTTGTACTCAGTTGACAGACTAGAAGTAAATAAGTTTATTCAGGTATACACAAATCCAGTTACATAGATTATCATACATATCAGTGTATGTATAGAGAACCTGGGATAACCCAGAAAAGTCAAAGTGACTAATTTCCAGTACCTGGCTTGGGCCTGCCATATATGATTTTTGGTAAATATTTTTTTTTCTCAGTTGTTTGTTGGGCTATCTCACTGAAACTTTGCAGTATATTTTTGTATGGTTTTTATGGTTGTATTCTCATTTTTTTGGACTCACTTGATAGAATGGAAGATATATTACAGAAATAGATATGGTTTTGATTGCTTTCATGATGAAAAGTACCTTGAAATTGAGCTCAAAGTAGCGGAAATGTTCAATTTTTGCCGATGTTCAATGAACTGTGTAAGTCAAATTGGTTAATTTTATTAAGTGTATTCTAACCTAACCACTCTGTAATCCGGCAAACTCAGTAATCCGGCACACTACAGGTCCCAATGATGCCGGATTTGTGATGGAGGACCTGTACTTGTATTTCTAGACCAAGGCAGGTGCAAATTTTCACCTGTATGTGTGTTTGTGACTATCCGAGTACTATTTCAGTACCTCGTATTAGTGTCATAATAAAGACTGGCTATGAAATCACAACAACTATTATAAATTGTAATTATCAGAACAAAAAATTACATAAATTAAAATAAAAACAAGAAAAAAAGGTATATCAGTAACATTTCTGCAAGTGGCAGGACCCCATGTTGCCGTCGGCTGAGCATCCAGTACCAACTTCACGGTCTTATAACTCGGTAAGTACTGACCCTAAATTTTTTGGGGGGTCTTATTAAACACAGAAAAATTGCCCTCTTTAATTAAAAAAAAAAAATTCAAAATATTCGGAGCACTGGCAGTGAAAATGTAGATCTATGTTTGAACAGTTTAAGGGTTCAATTTCAAATTTATTTATTTCTTTGCAAGTAATACATTGCAGTTATTTACAATAATGGGTTGCAGTGCAAAGAGAGCCTCTATTATGCTTAGGCATTATGGGCTGACTTAATTTAATGGCTTACTGAGTACTTAACATTAAAGAAATTTATCATAAATGTACAATAGTTCTATTTCATGCCTCAGATCAAGTTTTAAAGTGTAGTAACACCTTCTTATGCCAAGCAAAACACAATGTAGCACCAGGCAAGGCCAGGCAGAGCATCACAAATACACATGCACACACGCACTCGTGCACATGCATGCATGCACATACATGCACACACACATTATGGGAACATAAAACACATTAAAAAATACATTAAGTACAGTGGTACCCCAAGTTTTGGCCATAAGTTGTTCCAGATGGCTGTTTGAATGCCATTACCAAACGAATTTGTTCCCTTAACCCTTTCAGGGTTTCCAATGTACTAGTACGTCTTACGCACCAGGGTTTTTGACATACTAGCACGCATAAATTCTAGCGCCTTCAAATCTAGCAAGAGAAAGCTGGTAGGCCTACATATGAAAGAATGGGTCTATGTGGTCCGTGTGCACTGTATAAAAAAAAATCCTGCAGCACACAGTGCATAATGAGAAAAAAAAACATTGACCATGTTTTTGGCTTAAAACAGCGACTTTGCAGTGTATTTCGTATGATATTTATTTTTGTATTCTAGTTTTCCTGGTCTCATTTTATAGAATAGAAGACATATTACAGAAATGGAGATGATTTTTTATTGGTTTCACAATGAAAAGTACCATGAAATTGAGCTCAAAGTAGCAGAAATGTTTGATTTTGGCCAAGTTCAATAGTAAACAAATCATGACATGCGTCCAATACACGTCAACTGGTGAGTCTAATATTCTTTCACAAGTGCGCTGATATTATTTATACCATTTCTACACTAATGTAGTAGTCTGCATAACAGTAAATCTATTTTTTGTGAGAATAAAAATTCAAAGTGGAAAGCAAAAGAAACGTAGGAGAGGCCTGGGGACATGACTAATGAACAGAGAAAATGTTATTTTAGTTCCAGGAATGTCTGTCTTGTTTATTCTGGACCCTATTTGGAAATTTTCATCTTTTGAAACTTTTGTGAAATTGGCAAAATTGCCAATTTCTGACCAATTCATTGGATAGTTGAAATCGGTAAATGGGTGGCTTCTTGTACTCATTCGATAGATAAAAATTGAGTTCTAGCGAAATAATTATGATTTTTGTTGACTAATACACTGGAATTGGCCGAAAATAGGGCTCAAAGCGGGCTAAATCGCCAGTGCGTAAACATCGTCGAGACCGCTAACTTTACGAGAGCATAATTCCGCAAGTTTTCCATCAAATTTCATACTTTTGCTGCCATTATGATTGGGAAAAGATTATCGTTTCAAAAGAAAAAGTCATTTTATTTTCTGAAAAATTTTCGACCCTGAGAACAAGTTTAGGAGAAGGCCTCTCGACCCTGAAAGGGTTAAGGAATAATTTAAATTAGATTAGTCCATTTCAGACCCCTAAAAATACACTTACAAAAGCCCTTACAATAATACACTTACATAATTGTTCGAGTTATGAGCTGTACGAAACTCAGGGTACCACTGTACATTTTTTATCCAGGACAAACCAAGAAAATCTCAAAACACAATTTCCATGTTTCAAGATGTAATGCATCCTCAGCTAACTGTATTACTTTAAGATTTTTTTGTACATAGAAGACAAAAGCTCCCAAAAGAAATAAGAAAAGCAATTAGCTGTAGTAACTGAAACTGCATATTCTATACAGGGCAAGATCAGGCTAAGCATCTCCCAGTATTTTGAGTAGAGTATTAAAACACCCTGAAACATATCCAGTACCATAAGAAGCTAATCTACATAAAAACAGAAAAAAGTGTTTTTGTAAAAACTATTTTAATTTGGCAAGAATAAATGGCAATACAAATACAGTGGAACCTCCACTTGCGAGCGCATCCACGTGCGAGTTTTTCAAAATAAGAGCAGTCAATCAGTCAATTTTTTGCTTCCATACGGGAGCGAAATTTTCAAAAACAGGCGGGCCTCAAGGGAGGTTCCTCGATGCTGGTGAGGGGCTCTTGCTCTTGATCAAGGGAACTGGATCTCATTTGTTTGTTGGACTATCTTATTGAAACTTGGGCAATGTATGTTGGAAAGATGCTTCTTAACGTACACCAAAAATGAAAGAAATCGAACCATAAATAATGGAGTTCACTTCTCAGCAATTAGCTGCCTCTTAGCGGTATTTTTGTATGGTTTTTATGGTTGTATTCTCATTTTTTTGGTCTCCTTTGATAGAACAGAAGATGTATTACAGAAATAGATATGATTTTGATTGGTTTCATGATGAAAAATACCTTGAAATTGAGCTCAAAGTAGCAGAAATGTTCGAGTCTTTGGCGATGTTCAAGGGTAAATAAATTCCATTCCATTCCAATATGCAGTCATGAATGGATTGACATTATTTATACAATTATTACAACATACAGTAGTCTGCATAACAGTAAATCTTCTGTTTTTTGTGTGAATAAAAATTACAAATTATTTATACAGTAGACCCCCGGTTTTCGTAATTAATCCATTCCAGAGAGAGTGACTGAACCCTGATGGCAGTGTTTACAACAACAAAGCGGGAGTGGTTGTGGCCACCGCCACCTGTTACATAATGATATACGTATTTTATTCATTCTAGAGTATTAGGTTTCTGTGTTACTTATATTGTTTATTATGTCATATTAGATGAATTGTGATAGATAAATAAGCTGTATAGATGATATTAGTGAAATACTGAAGTACAGTGGTCCCTCAATAATCGTCCGGCCTGAAAGTCGTCCATTTCGGAAATACGCAGTCCCATTATTTTGTCTAAACATTGGCTCGCAAATGGTCCGTTAACTCGCTAATCGTCCTGCGTCTGGGATG